ACTCCTGGGCTCAAGCAAGTCTCCTGCCTCAGCCTCCCAAGTAGCTGGGACCACAGGCGCCCGCCACAATGCCCAGCTATTTTTTGGTTGCAGTCGTCATTGTTGTTTTGGCGGGCCCAGGCTGGATTCGAACCCACCACCTTAGGTGTTTGTGGCTGGCATCTTAGCCAGTTGAGCCACAGGTGCTGAGCCAATCCATTGATTTTTTATTAACCTTCAGTCACATCTGTTCTGCCTCAAATAAGTCTCACATTTCTCCATTCCCACTGCCACTACTTTAGCTCTTATTGTTTCTCACCTGGACTTAGGCAGTAGCCTCCTATCTAGACACCGTTATTTTTAACCTGACTTCTCCAGACCGCCACCCCACTGAAGCCAGAGTTATCTTCCTTAAGCACAGTTTCTGTCATTCCTGCCCAGCTCAGAAACCTTCTGTAGCTCCCCATTGTGTGTCCAGCAAAGTGAAAAGGTTTCACTGTGTTATTTGGGATGTCCTCTGGATCTAATAATATGACTTTCTACCCTCTTGTTATACTTTCCCAACAAAAAGCTCATGTTCCCATCAAACTAGAACTCGTCGCTATTCCCCATATTAACACCATGCTTTTGATCAGGGTGTTGTTATTTCTTGGGAAGCCCCTCCCTCTCACCTCTACTTGATAAAGCCCTTTTTCCCTAAACTACCACCTATAAGAAGTCTTCCTGATCCTTCTTCCAGCCAGATGTGATTTCGTACCTTTCCTCTCTGAACACTTGTAGAACTTATTTTCTGCCTCTCTTGTCTCACTTTGACCCCCCACATGTACCCATGCTACTGGCATGAGGAACAGTCTGCCTCATAGTCTCCATATATATTTTTTGAGACAAAGTCTCACTATGTCGCCCTCGGTAGAGTGCTGTGATGTCACAGCTCACAGCAACCTCCAACTCTTGGCTTAAGCGATTCTCTTGCCTCAGCCTCCCAAGTAGCTGGGACTACAGGTGCCCACCACAACACCCGGCTATTTTTTTGTTGAAGTTGTCATTGTTGTTTAGCAGGCCAGGGCTGGATTCGAACCCACCAGCTCTGATATATGTGGTTGGTGCCCTAGCCGCTGAGCTATAGGTGCCAAGCCACTTAAGCGATTCTCTTGCCTCAGCCTCCCAAGTAGCTGGGATGACAGGAGCCTGCCACAACACCTGGCTATTTTTTGTTGCAATTGTCGTTGTTTAGCTGGCCCAGGCCAGGTTCCCTACTAGCCTCAGTGTATGTGGCTGGCGCCGTAAACATTGTACTACGGGCACCGAGCCCATAGTCTCCATATTAAACATTCTTAGCAGAGCTGACTTATCCATTACACATAGGAAGTGCAGCACCTAGGACCCATGATACATTGAAAGGCCTACAAAAAAGGTTTTCATTTATTTATTTATTTTTTTTTGAGACAGAGCCTCAAGCTGTCACCCTGGGTAGAGTGCTGTGGCATCACAGCTCACAGCAACCTCCAACTCCTGGGCTCAAGCGATTCTCCTGCCTCCCTAGTAGCTAGGATTACAGGCACCTGCCACAATGCCCAGCTAATGTTTTTGGTTGTAGCTGTCATTGTTGTTTGGCAGGCCTGGGCTGGATTTGAACCCGCCAGCTCAGGTGTATGTGGCTGGTGCCTTAGCTGCTTGAGCCACAGGCGCTGAGCCTTATTTTTTTTTTAATTAAATCATAGCTGTGTACATTACTGCAATCATGCACAATGTGCTGGCTTTACACACAATCTGAAATGCTTTCATCAAACTGGTCAACACAGCCTTCACAGCATTTTCTTGGTTATTGTGTTAAGACATTTATATTCTACACCTAGTAAATTTCACATGTACCCTTGTAAGATGCACCATAGGTGTGATCCCACCAATTACTCTCCCTCCACTCATCCTCCCTCCTCCCCTCCCCTCCCTCTTCCCTTTCCCCTATTTCTAGAGCTATAATTGGGTTATAGGTTTCAGTTTCATAGTAAGACTGAGTACATTGGATACTTTTTTCTTCCATTCTTGAGATACTTTGCTAAGAAAAATATGTTCCAGCTCCATCCATGTAAACATGTAAGAGGTAAAGTCTCCATCTTTCTTTAAGGCTGCATAATATTCCATGGTGTACATATACCACAATTTATTGATCCATTCATGGGTCGATGGGCACTTGGGCTTCTTCCATGACTTAGCAATTATGAAGTGGGCTGCAATAAACACTCTGGTACATATATCTTTGTTATAATGTGATTTTTGGTCTTCTGGATATATATACCTAGTAGAGGAATTGTAGGATCTGATGTCAGATCTATTTTTAGATTTCTAAGGGTTCTCCAAACATCTTTCCAAAAGGAACATATTAGTTTGCATTCCCACCAGCAATGTAGAAGTGTTCCCTTTTCCCCACATCCACACCAACATCTCTGGTTTTAGGATTTTGTGATGTGGGCTAATTTTACTCGAGTGAGATGATATCTCAAAGTAGTTTTGATATGCATTTCTCTGATGATTAAGGATGATGAGCATTTTTTCATGGTTTTCATTTATTTTAAAATTAGAAGAAAATAATGAACTTTTAGGGCCAATGATTATATTCATCTTTATACCAATGCTGTCTTAAGTTAAAATTTTTCTGACTCGGCACCTGTGGCTCTAGTGGCTAAGGCACCAGCCACATACACCTGAGCTGGTGGGTTCAAATCCAGCCTGGTCCCGCCAAACAACAATGATGGCTGCAACCAAAAAATTGCCAGGCGTTGTGGCGGGCACCTGTAGTACCAGCTACTTGGGAGGCAGAGGCAGGAGAATCGTTTGAGCCCAGGAGTTAGAGGTTGCTGTGATGAGCCCAGGAGTTAGAGGTTGCTGTGAGCTGTGATGCCATGGCACTCTACCTAGGGCGACAGGTTGAGGCTCTGTCTCACTTTGTCACCCTAGGTAGAGAACCATGGCATCATACTCACAGCAACCTAGTACTTTTGGGCTCAAGCAATTCTTTTGCCTCAGCCTCCCAAGTAGCTGGGACTATAGGCACCTGCCACAACACCCAGCTATTTTTTTAGAGACAAGGTCTCACTCTGGCTCAGGCTGGTCTTGAACCTGTAAGCTCAGGCAATCCACCCTCCTGAGCCTGCCAGAGTGAGTACTAGGATTACAGGCATGAGCCACTGTGCATGGCCCCCAAAATTTTTCATATTTTTAAGAAGGGATCTCAGTAAAGCATCACAAGAATGGAAAATCAAAAATCCAATGTACTCAATTCTAATATGAAGGCAGTAGGTGAGCTAATACAAGGAGGGGTAGGGGATTGAGCAAGTAGAGAGACGGGGTGTGAGGAAGTTGGGGGGTCACGGTATCCTCTTGGAGGTGGGATACTGTAAGAGAAACTTTTTTTTTTTTTTTGAGGCAGAGTCTCACTATGTCGCCCTGGGTAGAGTGCCCTGGGGTCACAGCTCAGAGCTCAAACTCTTGGGATTAAGCCATTCTCTTGCCTCAACCTCCCATGTAACTAGGACTACAAGTGCCCGCCACAACACTTGGCTATTTTTTGTTGTTGTTGTTGTAGTTGTTATTGTTGTTTAGCAGGGCCCAGTAGGGTTCGAACTTGCCAGCCCCGATGTATGTGGCCGGCGCCCTACTCACTAAGCCAAGAGAGACTTTATCTAACAAATGCAATCAGTGTAACCTAACTCTTTATACCCTCAATGAATCCCAAACAATAAAAAAATTTTTTTAAAAATAAAAAGAGGCTCGGCGCCTGTGGCTCAAG